GGCACTGCGAACCATAGTTGGGAAACACTGTTTTCTGTAGATTATCTTCACAACTTGCTCGTTACTGGTTGCTGGTAACTAGCTCTAGAGGTCCAACTCTGCTTTAAGAATGAGGATGCAAAACTGACGTCCGTGCAGAAGCACATTTAATTCTCCTCTACAGCAGGAAAACATAACATGACATAGCGCAGGGCCTTCTCACAGAGACTATGCTGTAACTGGAGCCTATCTAAACACTGTAAACAGACTGCAACCACCCGTAGCATAAACAGTACTATTTTCACAGTGCATTCCCATCCGTACACTCTATACGCCGCTTTACTTCCCACAACATCTTCTACGTCACACCCACACGGCCACCGTCTTAAAGCGAAGGGCTGGCCGGAAACAAATATGACAAGAAATGGTGTGAGACCGAGTTTGGCAACAGGTCAGTAGCCTACGTGCTCCGTTCTATTAATATCTATCACCTGTAAGTTTGTCCTCAAAGACAATTTATTGTTGATATTTAGCTTCTTAACCTTCATTTAAGCAGAGAAGCGACGAGTAATAATCTACTTAACACTCAGTTACTCAGTACAAGACAAATGGAAAATTCTGTATTGTTATACATTTATATATCATTTTCTTTTACAGGACTGTAATTTTAAAATAATTCCCTTATAATTTCCAAGAAGTTTCCTGAAAAGAATGAGGTATTTATTATTTGGAGAACAGAGACAGTGTTCAGTTGGTGGACCTCCATTAAATTATTTATTTTTTATTCTATTTCAATTTATCTTTCAGGGGAACTCCCAATTGTCCTGCAATTATGAGGGAGAATTGAAAGAAGCCATTTTGGATAATTAGCACTTTTACAAATGATACTTTTTGTGCAGGTAAATCTTGAATGAAAATTTGATCTTCACTTGTAACTGAGTATCTTTGTTTTGTGGTATTATTATATTTCCTGTCTTAAAGCCTCTCAATACTTCCTCTTCACAAAAAAATATGCAGTCACTGTGCACACTTCCCTTTTTGTGCTTTTTAGACTCAGCATGTTTCTGGGTAATTTAATATTGCTGAATTATTATAGGTAATATTATAGGAAATGATTGAATCATCGTTTAATTAACAAGTATTCCAAATTATAACTGTGTTCATACCCGTAAACACTACAGCATTTTAACAATTTGACACATGACTACAGTTATTTCATTTTTCCTATTTGAATTATTTATTATATTTAATACAGATGCATTTAATACTTTAAGACAGTTACTCAGTTTCTGTGTTGCTGGCTACACAGCAGCAGCACGTAGACTGAAAGAGCCAGCAGAAGAAGCCCTGCTCTCTCCTCTCTCTGACCTCTGGGTTCGCTGAAACAATAACCACAAGTTCAGGAGGAGTGGCCAGAGGAGCCGATGAAACTGAAGGAGCAGAGGCTGGTTCTCTGGTGGGTTTTTGGCCCTCCTCCAGGTTTGGCCTTTCATTTGTGTCCCCCTTGTCCTGGACATCCGTAATGTGAGGTTCAGTAGGAGATGTCTGAGGAGCTGGTGGAGGTGACACCTCAGCAGAGCTTGTCACTGGACTGGAAGTCGGCTGCTTTGTTTCAGCCGGGCTGGTGGTCGAGCCGCCCTTCACTGTAGTGATAATTACAGGTTCAGCAGGATGGGTCAGTGGAGCTGGGAGAACAGCTGGTTCTCTGGTGAGCTTTGGGTCCTTCTCCAGGCAGAGTTCTTCAGTTTCAGCCACCCTGGCCTCAGTAATAAACAGAGGTTCAGCAGGAGGTGATGGAGAGGATGAGACCACTCCAGTGGGTTCTTGGTCATTCTCAAGGCAGGGTGTGTCATCTACATCCTCCCTGGTCTCAACATCAGGAATGGATGGAGGGTCAGCGGGTGGAGTTGACACCACCACAGAGTTAATCTCTAGACTGGTTGTTAGCAGCCCCTCAGTTACAGCCAGGTTTAAATCCTGCTGGACTGGAGTGGTGGCAGCAGGTTCGACAGTGGGTGTCAGATGAGCCGTTGCTTTGGGGCTCTGGGGCTGAAACATCCCACTAATCTGTCCCACTGCAACTTCAACAATCTCACTCAGCAGCACTGGTGCAAAAGTTTTGATCCTGTTCACCAAGACATCATGAGAGAACGTCTGTCTGATCTTGTTCATGATAGACTGGACCATTTCATCCCTGATGGAGCGAGAGAAGATGATCTGATGTTCCACAGTGGTTAAAGCATTGGAGACTCCGTCCAAAACAGCCTTTGTAACCCCAACAGACATTTTGCTAAGTCTCTGGGAAGGCATGTTTAACAGGGGATGAGGAGGAAGCACCCAGAAGCCCTGCAGAACTCTGGGAACGACCTCGAGGACTACCTCTTTTGGACTGAGCAGTTCGAAGCTGGGAGCCTTCCTCTGCTTCTTTCTCAGGATCCTGGCAAACTTTTTGGCCATGCTGAGGACTTTAGGTTGTCTGTAGGTTACAGTCATTAAAATGAATTTTTAAAAACCTTCAGAGTATCACAGAGATATTAAAACCACTGCAGTGTAACTGGTAATAAATGTGGGAAATGTAACTTACTGAAAAGTAGCAGGTACGGCCTCTGGAAAGTTGAGGAGCATCTGGGCTTCAAACTCAATGTCCCTCTTTTTGTTGCTGACATTTACTGCCCACACCTGAAACAGGGAATTAGACATAAAGTGCAGTTTTGACATTGACAAGCAGTTTTAGAGGATGACATCAGCATATTGTAGCAAACTACTGTAAGTCTTCTCAGGACTGTCTTACCAGCATCAGCAGAGATTTGGTATCGTCCTCATCAAAATCTTCCAGTTCAAACGCCCAGAGGCTTCAAACAGAAACACAGACGTTTTATTTTTCTTGTTGCTCTTGACACTATTAGAGACTATTAGTGTGACATGAGGAGAGTTCAAGGTGTCATGGTGGACTGTCTGTATGTTTCTCAGTAACTCACCGTTCCCTCATAGTATTTTTGCTTTCCTTCAAAAGCAAACCGATCATGTCTTCAGCCGTCACCTGAGATGGGATCTTCTGCTTCTGCTGAAGCCTCAGGAGTTCTCTCATCAGTGCAATCTAAACAACATAAAGGAAATAAGTCACCTTTAAATGTAGTAAGATATTTTATCAAAATGAATCTATTTTGTATTAGTGCGTGCTTTGAAGGATAGTAGATCTTACCTGAGACTTGTAACTGGATATATTCCAGCAGAGCTGCAGAGCCCGATCATATATAGGTGTGTCAAACAACACCTTGTTTTTGGAAAGAAGATATATTAGTTTTCATCACTTAAAATCATCACTTAAAATACATCTTAAAATATTCAAAATCTAACCCCAGGTAAGACAAACACTGTCTCTCTTACCCTGATGGGTCTGTAGATTCCACCTTCGAGAAACTCCATTGAAATATTGTTGCTGTGTATCACAACACAGAACAAATGAAACAGGCGAAGCGACAATGTAAATTTTACAAGTGTAGAGTCGAGAAACTTGAGAGTGCTTGAACACGATTGAGCTCTCTGGCACAAATGAGCAGAGAGTTCAGAGTGAAGTGCTTTTTTGTTTAAATATGTGTCAAACATTCTGTCACCAAGGAAACGCATTTTCTCAGTATCCTGTTATCAAATAAAGTCCATAATCACCCACAGGACACTGATGTGAAATGATGCATACATTATATATATCAAACAATGTGGTCAACACAACCCCACCTGATGGTGCTATGAGGTGCCATTGATTACATGCCGATTTATTGTTAACTAGTGAAATCCTCCAGAATTTTTTACCATTTAGGAGACATTTGGTGATTAGGCTATATCTGCTTGATATTTTTTGTCCCTTTGTCCCACAGACTTCCATCATTGTCCAAAAGCTAGTAAAACACATCAATGGGACACACTATTGCAATGTATATATTTAATATTTAATCATCACTTCCCAATATCTCATGTAAACATATCTGCTTGGAGTGATGAGGCCAGAGTCTAGACGCCAAACTCTAACTATGTTCTGCTGTTGCAATAAACGTTTAAAATATCGGTTGTCTGACTGAACTATTTATCAGAGCAACATAACCTGATACAACTGTATGTATGATATCTAACAAATAAGCACCCAGTGAATGGTGTCCTCACACTATGTACTTAACTTAAAGTAATATTTAATGTGGAATTACGTTGGTTAGGTTTAGGTGAAGACACATGAGCACTGTCACATTTTGTACTTAACTAAAGGTTACGTTCACTAAAGTGTAATGTACTTAATGTAAAGTTATGTAGGTAAAGTTTAAGAAAGTAAAGTCACCTAGATTTGGTTTAGGAGAAGAATAAGAATATGGTATGATGTAATTAAAATAACTTAAAGTTCACTTGGTTCACATGGGACACAAACATCGGTCTCCTGGGAAGAAGTCCTTTGTGTGTTTGACACATCCACCACCCTTACTGGAATGCTTATGCTGACTTTTGCTCTTCATAAAACCTCCTTCTTTAGTCTCATCAGTGCATTGGTCATATGACTGCAGCTCTTACAACCTACATGCTTTCATTGGCCTTTGGTTGTCTGTAGTGGTTTTACTATTTTTGCATTTTAAAATCTTTTTTTTTAAAGGTGCTATATAAATAAACTTGATTTGATTTTGATTTGATTTGATTTCCTGATTACATGAGTTATATACCAATTTTGGTGCACTACTTTTTGTAGGTATAGGTATACAAAGTGCATGAGACGTGTTTTTCGAAGACTGAAAAAGCTGAGAGCCACATGTGGCCTGGGGGAGGTGGAAACTATGAAAACACTGAAACATTTGGTGTTTTTCATTATACTGGAGAAATGTAATTTTTTAAAATGTAAAATGCAATTTTGTTTCCTGAGATCCCATCATGTGTTCTCTAATGTTGTTGTTTTTTTCTGATTTGTTTTGATTTTTTTCATTGTTGTTGTGCTTTGCACCTCAAGGCTGCCGTATTTCTCCCTGAATGAACAAAAGCACAAAAACTCAGCAAAGAAAATAACATTCTTTATGTTTGAGTCATATCTTCCAGAGATACAAAAACATACACTTAGAAAACATATATTACAAGCACAATGCACTGTAATAACCACAGAACATATTATACAAAAGGCACATGCTTCAATGTCAGTAAATCTCTGAAAACTTAACAGTATTGACATCATCTGTCCTACAATAAGTGCCACATGGCTGGAACGTTGGAGTCAGTTTGCTGGTCAAGACACATGTGACCAGACAGAGGAAATGTCAGTGAAGAACATAAAGTGCCAATAGGAGACTGTGTAGACTGTGTGTGTGTGTCACCAGTTTCACATGTATCTCTCTCTGTGTTGTTGCTATGCTAACAGTCTCGGTTAATATCAGACTGATTGTCCTCATCACTGACATCCTTTTGAAAAGGATCTGTGTGAGTTCCTTTAGTGGGGGTGTTTTGTTCATCCTGAATATCAGAATCTGTGTTGTGGCTGCCTCTGTGTCTTGTGATGTCACTTATGTGTATTTGACTGGGCATGCTGTGGTCAGTATCAAAGTCTGTCCCATCTGTTTGATTCTGATAAGTTTGTAAAGTATCAGTGGAGCTGCTAGAGTCTGAGATCTGCTCCTTGGCTGTATCAAAGGACTCAGTAAGAATACTGTCACTGTAGGACTGACTGGCAATGGTTTGTGTGTCGAAGGCATCCACAAAAGGGCCATCTGCATCGAGATTATTGCTGTGATCTTTCCCATTAGTATCTCCAGTGTCAGTGTCTGCATGTCTGTCCTCTTTGTCTTCACTGATAAAAGAGGTTCTTGGAAATGAGTTGTCGTCACGTTTTTTATTTTCAGGTGTAGATGTGAAAACACCGTTTCTCTTAACCAAACTTTCTGTACGTTCCATATCAGCACCGGAGTCCTCTTCCTTCTTTTGGCCCAGCTCTGTGTCTGCATCCGCCATGTTTTCCTCTACAACAGCAGCGCCTTCCTCCCCAGCCAGAATTCTCTTCAGACTCTGGGCTCTGTCTCTATAAACTTGGCACAGTTGAGGATCGGGCATGTGGTTGCCGTGGATCTCAGCCAGCTTCATGTACACCACGTACAGAGCCTCGGGGTTACTTTGGTCCTCCAGCGCCGCTGCCAGAGCCAACTGGAAGTAGCCCACCGCATCAAAAGAATCCTGGGGAGAGTGCACAGAGCAGAGGGTCAGAACAGGTCTCATCTAAATTAAACACATCATCTTCACATCTGAAGGTTTGATTCAGAGCCAGTTACTGTGAAAAGGCCAACAGGAGACAATTACCATCACTCTGCTGAGATCAAAAATTAATTCTTTCTAGGACAAGGGGAAAATCTGCAAAAATTAAAAATGCCAACCACCTGCCCTTGTATCAAATCAAGGTTAGGTATTGTGCAATTATCCTTTGATTATTGATCAAAGCCCACATATTGAACAATATGTGAATTTATCAAACAAAAGTGCCTTTGAAAGAAGTACAAAAGTCCTTCTACATTGTAAAAATGTAGGTGTTTCTTTATTGTTTTTAACTGATAAAGAGGAATAGATTTTAGAAAATTTAGAAAATCTATTTTTTTAATTATTGTCTTTTTTGTATCTGGAGAGTTTGATTTAAAAAATACATTTTACATCTGATCATTATTGAACATGTAAGTCAGTTAAACTGTGTCAGGGAGTATTTTTTTTAGTTTAATTTTTGAATTTCATCTTTAATAGTGCATCAACATGACAGGGATGACAGGAAACAAGGGCAGAGAGCTCAGGCCACAAGTATGCCCTGTCACAAAACATTAATAACTATGATTAATACAATGTTGTTGATTTCCATGTATTAGGAGACCTGTCAATTAATTTGTAAATGAAAGCAGGTTTAAATCTTGTGTTTTTAATTTTAGGGACAGGAAAAACTCACAGACTGTGCCTTTTATGATGAAGATTCAGCAGACTGTTTATTTCAAAAACACACTTATGTCTATATTCTGTTTCAGCTTTGTACCTTCAGTTTGTGTAGAGTGAGATTGCCCAGTCTGCAGTACACCTTGGTGTAGTACCGGGCCTCCATGGGGTCCTGCAGGACAGGCGGGCAGAGGGACAGGGACTTGAGGTAGTAGTTTTCTGCCATCTCATACTGCTGCAGGTTGTAGTAGACTGTAGCCAGCCGGTGGTAGGCTGTCCTCTCATTCACTTGCACACCTAAGGAAAAGCAACAACAGTCTATGTTAACAAAGTACTACATCTGGTTTACTACAGTTACTGCAGCTGACTGGACAAATTAACTAACAATAGGCACAGATTCTGCTCCAGAGCAATGCCTGCACTCAGTACCTGTTTTGCCGGTGATCTGAACAGCCAGTGTTGCGTACTGCAGAGCCTCCTCCTGCTCTCCCTGGGTCATTAACAGCTCTGTCAGTTTACTCAACAAACGGAACTCTGAGTGGACGTCCCTGATGCTCCGTGCAAATGGCAGACTGCCATCCTGAAATCAAACATGAACAGTTTTGTTAAATGAGATCAGTGGTGCTAAGAATCTAAAAATAATTTCATGATTATAAAATAAAAATTAAAAAATGGAAAATACTGCATCATGACATTGTAGCTTTAAGGCTGAAAAAATACAGCATATGTTTTTATTTTGCATCGTCTTACCCTGTAGAAAGGCAGTGAAGCCATCCTGTTCCTGTGGCCTTTAAAGTAGACGTCTCCTGCCTCCTCGTAGATGTTCATGGCAAAGTGATGGTCATTCATCCTCAGGGCTGTCTTCACTGCTGCCTGTTTATCAGAATATACTGTCAATCAATAATGGTCACTTATCTAACATTAGGATGTGAAACCAAGCTTTATGTATTGTAATGATTTTCAGGGAAGTAATTTTAGGGAAGTTATTGTTGATGATAAAATGAAACAAAAACACTGGCAGCATAAAGCCGTCCCTGCATACAATGAATGTCACTCCACCTTACACACTGTCATATATCCCCTCCTCCTCCTCACCTGCAGGTACATGTCAGCTAGCTCGTCCTCTTGGATGAGGTAGTAGATGCGTCCCACCTGCAGCCACGTCTCTGACTCTTCTTCTCTCTTGCCCAAATCAATAGAAATCCTCAGGCTCTGCTTGGTGTAGTCCAGAGATTTCCGAGATGATCTGCAATCCAGAGTTGAGACTGTTTTGCTCAAAAACCAAAAGATGGACAGAGAGTAACAGTGAGGAGGAGGGACAGACAGAAACTCACTTTTCAGTGTTGAGTGAGAGGTAGAGGCTGCTGAGGATTTCCAGATACTCTCCCTCCAGTCTCTTGTCCTTCAGCTCTCTGGATACTGACACACAGTGCTCATAGTAGACGATGCTCTGGCCGTACAGTAACATGTCATCATACAGTCGACTCAGCACCTTGGCCACCACCATCTGACCTATGAGCAAAATAAAACAGATATGTAACTGACATTTGACACAGTGATGCAAATGGTGACACCAGATGAAAACTATATTAAGTCTGACCTTCACTGTACATTGGTATGGCTGATAATATTAGTCAACTTTAGCTTATCACAGATGTATTGGTATTAGCGTATGAGGAAGAAATAATTTTTTTTCAAATGTAAACATCAGTAAACATCAAGATAAAACATGGAGGTGATGGGCACCTGTTACAATCCTGACCACATGGACAAGCAAGATCATCTCTGCAACTATCTCTGCGTTCATGTCTACATCAGAGGCACTGTGGCAAGTGTGAAGGAATCAAACACCCAGCTGCATGGATCTTTCCACTGAACTAGTGTCGTGCTAACCATTGTGCAAGCTTTGAAAAAAAATCTCTATGCCTGCAGTTTCAAACAGGCTTTCAGGAACTGTAATATCATGTGTTTCACTGAAACTTGGCTAAGTCCTGGACAGCGCCATTCAAAAAGTGACTCTTTTCCTATATGCCGATCTTACAGAGCGGAAGGCTCGGGCGAGAGAAGGGGAAGAAGTGTGTGCTTCATTGTGATTAAAGACAAGTGTGACGGTAGGAAAGTGAGGCGCTGTTCTGTCGCTGCTCACCTTGCTCCATGAGGGGAATAAACACTGTGGATCACTGCTTACGCCATTCAGGAGGCATAATGAATATGTGCCCATTTTGTTGAGGTCAAGATATGTTAAATTATGACCCCTGCTCCCAGTGACACAACAGATGAAACCAGCCTGAGTCTGGAGCTCATTGAGGACACCACTGTTTATGTCACTGATGACATCAATGCAGTCAGTGAGTCTGTGCTGAATTTAATTTGAAACAAAAGAGGCAACTGTACCCAAAACGACAGTTAACTCATTCCAGGATCAGAAACCACTGATTACCAAAACCATTTGGAGACATGGACAATTATAAAGCAGCAGCCTATAACATAAGAAGAGGCAGAAAATACTAAATTGCAGTGAACATGTTGAAGGAGCTGACAGGATTGTGTTTCACCAGAGTTATACCTTGTATGATTTCACGTGAAAAAAAGAGACTGATTTATGATTTTTTATGAAATAACAGTAGAAAATTATATATTTGAGATCATTAGAAACAATTTTCAACTGTCAAATATAACACTCAGCTTATATCATCACATCTCTAATGTGTTGATGTTAAAAAATGAAAATAAGCCAAAATATTCCTCTTTGATTCTTGTTTTTAAATCTTAAATATCAGTCTCAATAATACAGTAATGGTCATAATCTTATTTAATAAGTGTAAAATACTTTATGCACACACATTTAAAGGAATACCAGTAGTTCAACATTTTGGAAAATGTATTTATTTGCTTTCTCTCCAAAAGTATGATGAAAAGATTGGTACCACTGTCATGTACTCCTTGTTTCTGTACGACCAATTGCCAGTTTGCATAGCTTTGCAAAGTGACTGGAAACCAGGGGACCAACTTGTGGTTTTGCAGGTTAATTAGTGAGCTTTCATTAAGGCGCTTATAGGGAGATGTTTTTTTTACTTTCTGAGAGAGCCAGGCTAGCTGTTTCCTCCTGTTTTCAGTCTTCGACCTAAGCTAAGCTAACTGGCTGCAAGTGGTAAGCGAGAGGTATCAATCTTTATCATCTTCTAGCTATTGGCAAGAAAGGTAAGAAGGGTAGGAACGTTTTCCAATATCTCAAACTCTTGCTTTAATGTGTTAACTTAAACTCACTGTGTAAGTTTCTGGCATGTAGTGCGATTAGCAGCCCCATTTCATAACACGCCCTGCTGTCCTGACTCTTCCTCCTGTCTTTGTAGCTCCGCCCCAGCCAAAGGTAGGTCTGAACGTGCTCCTCGTCCGTGGGGCTTTCCCACAGCTCCAGAAAAAGACGTAGGGATCTGGAAATACACCATCACCATAAAAAACTTTGTAAACTTTTTCTGCATGTGTTGAGTTACCTGTGGGAAATTTTTTACGGACAAGACAGATATCTGACCTGACCAGGAAGCGTTCTGCCACCGTAGATGCCCCAACATCCAAAGCCAGGCAGCCCAGGTTGGCCAGTGCAAGGGCCTGGTTCCTTTGGTTTCCACTTTCCCTGGAAATCAGCAGGGCAGAGTGGAGATGCCAGCCTGCCTCTGGGATTCGACCCTGCCGCCTCAAACACAAAGCCAAGAGGTTGTGGATCACTCCTCGCTGCGTGGGACTGTCTGTGCCCTGGAGAGAGAACACTTTGTGTTCATACAGAGAAAGGGCTAAAGCCCACATTTAAGACCAAGTGCTTCTACAAAAGCTGGTGTGAAATGTGTTGATTGTTGTACCTGGAGTGATGTGAGCAGTGGCTGTAGGACATTCTGGGCCCTCTCAGCCTGGCCTGTCAACACCAGCAGCCACCCGAGCAACACAGAGGCCTCAAAGCTCTCCTCCTCATTGATGTGGCCCCCGGTCTCCACAGCTTGTTGAGCACAGCGCACAGCCTTATCTAGAGCATCATACTGCTGGTAGACAGTGGCCAAGCCCTGACACAGGTCCCTCTGTGTCTTCATGTCCTCCCCTTGCTCAGCTATAATCAGGGCCTGCTGAAGGTAGATCACAATCTGGGCAGGGAGCAGGGAGGTTCCTTCCCTCCAGCATGGGTTCAGGCGAACAGAGTTCCTGATAAACAACTCAATCCTCTGGAAAGCATCATGGAGGGAGTGGTCTTGTCTTGAGTCCAGGCTCAGAGAGGCCAGGGCTAAGTAAGGCATGTATTTACGATGATATAGCCAGCTCAAGAGCCAGTTAAGGTCCAAAGGAGCTATGGGAGCCCCATTGGTGGCAGAGAAAGTCACAGCGAGAAACTGGAGTCGCTCAACGAAGGGAAGGGCGTCATCAGTCTTCCTGAGAAACAGGAAGAGGCTGGACACAAGGTAGCAGACACGAGCCTCCAGGTGTTTGTCCCCCATCACCACCGATCTCCTCAGGAGCAGCTGCAGCAGCTCAAGCTCGTCGGTGGAGGTGAAGGTGTGGCAGGGGAGACACAGGAGCAGGGCACTCGCCTTCTCCAGAGTCTGCGGCAGTTTGTCGGTCATACGCTGCTTCAGGTAAACGGCAGTGAGGTTTGTGAAAAGAGCGATGAGGAGCGGCGTGTCAGAGAAACTGTCCACACGAACACTGAGAGCCTCCTCGTAGTACACACGGGCCTGAGGAGAGGAGAAAACACGAATATATAAATTATAATGGTCTGTATTTGTGGTCTCTTGTGACTCACTTGCTTTAAATGTCTCTTTAACATGGGGGCCGACGAGGGCAAACACACAACAACGGCCAAAAACATTTCCATCAAGAGCGACGTGTGGCAGAAAGCCAAAACAAACACATTAACGCGCTGCAAAAACAGAGACAATGCAAAGTCAAAAACACAAAAACACCCTGAAAGCAAATGCAACATAAAAACCCTGCATATCCAGAGAAGTGCTTATTGGAATAGCTTGATTTTTGAGAGGCCTGGAGAGCTAGTACAGACAGGATATGCAGCATTTTTACTTTACATCTCTTCATTTGAAGCAGGGTTTATGCTGTATTTATTTGGAATTTCATGTGTTTTTGAATTGGCATCATTTCTCAAGCTGCTGCACGTTTCTCTTAATTTTAGTCTGCCTTCATTGGCCACTGTACTGATGCATAAAGCATATCAACATATCCACAACACATATATTGATGCTGGGACTTAAGCACAAACCTGGGAGAACTTCAGCTTCCTGGCACAGAGTCTCCCCAGGAGGAAGCATGCCCGTCGATGTGCCCAGTGCAGGCCCATCCTCTTGGCGCACTCCCTGACACTCTCCAGGTGCCCCGATAGCTCGTCCTCAGTCTTACCGCTGAAGGTCACCCACAGGAAGGAATACTGCAGGTCGTACAGCGGCAGGAAGTCCTCCTGGAAGACATGAGCTGAAGAATTAAAGACACTCTTGGCAGGCTGTATTTACTGTTAAAAAGATTTTTGTTTTTTTGTTTGAGCAAAGGACTTTTTTGATGGCAAAGCTTGGGGAACAGGTGTTAATGTGTACACAGGTACATTAATGATTTACTGACTTCTGACTAATTTTCCTGCGTCATCGTGCAATTAAATAATCATGCAAGGTAAGGCAGGGCGGCAGTTTACTTTCTGTTTTTGCCTTTGCCATCAATTTTAGATTGTTTTATTGGCCTGAAAATATGCACCTACATTTGTTGACATCTTACGATATCAATTGTCATAAAGTATAAACAACTGCTTTCATTAGCTGCCATAGATGTAAACAAGAGACACACAAGAAGAAAAAATAAACCCTACAATCTGTTGCTTTGCTATTGTGATTGCCTCTGTTATAAGTAACTCAGTGAATAAGCTGTGACTCCATGGACCTGGAAGTGTTCGTGGTTCAGCAGGGTCAGTGTCGGGTCACTGAACTCTGAGTCCTCCCCCTCCCAGCTGTTCTCCTCCAAGAAGAGAGGTGGGTCTTCCTGGAACTCATCCATCTCTCTGAATGTGTCATCCAGAGTAAAGGACAGGCGCTCTCCCTCACGTGGTAGAGGATTGTGGGACTGATAGAGGGACAGACGAGGGGAGGAATGAGAGAGAGAGGCGCGAGGAGAGGAGTGATACGGCGGCGTTCCTCCACTTTTCTCTGACATGACGCTCTGACGAGCGCTTGCAGGAATCTTAAGTTCTGGGAAGAAGACGGATAAATAAACACATTTAAGTTTTCAAGCTGTTTTAGTGCATTAAGCTTTAAGCAGCTGATTTCCTCCAGTAAATAAATTGCGTTACCATGTTTTGGCCGATTCCTGATGTACATGAAGTCAGTCTCGTCCAGTCTGTCTGAAAACACACAAGGTAAATCAATTTAAGCAGCACTTTTCCAACTGAGGATAAAAATGGAAACTTTTTTTTTCTTCCTCAGAATGAATCACTAACAGTACGACTCTTTGGGAAACAAACAGGAGCTGCACATCAAACCAAACATGACCTATATTTCAGTCATGGCTCTTGACACAACCTCTCCCTTTCCCCTATCCGACAAAAAGTACAGTAAATCTTGATCACCCTGGTTGTTCTTTTACCTAGCCTGTACACAGAGCTGATGTCGGTCGAGAAGAGTCTTTCCAGCAGGCCGCTGTCACTTGGCTCAGAGCTACACGGGTTAACTTGAGCAAGGCTGGCCCTCTCCTCCTCAGTCAGAAAGACCAACCGTGCGTCTCTGTGTGAGGGAAACAAAGGCAGCATTATCAAATCTGCTGTGTCCCCGCCCCCCTGTCAAGGCGTCCAGACTGTGGACACACTAAATAGAAATTCATAAAAGATCAGCACAAGACTGTAAACAAGAGGGTTTAAGATAAAGTGCTCTCAGTTTCAGACCAGAAACTTCAAGCCACGCCATTTATTATACAACTACAATAAACTGAACTTCTTACAGGGGTTCGGTGTCCAGTGGCTTGACGTGGGCCTTGTGTACAAAACCAGTGTGACCTGTGGAAGTGTGTGTTCCAATGAACACACCCAGGCCTCGGACTAGAAGACCCTGGATCTCCACAATGTCACCTTGACTCAGCTGAAGCTCATCTGGGCCAACTGGACTGTAGTCGACTACTGCTACACAGGAACCTGTCACTGAGGTATTTTAAAGAGGAGAGCAGGAAAAGGACAAGAAGAAGACAGGTTTTTTAGATCAGTGTGTAAGAACATTGTTTGATTTATGAATATGATGATACAATATATCTTTCTACTTGTATATGTATTTTTACATACTGCAAAAGTATTGACGGGATTGAAATCAATAAAGTTTAAATGCTTTTCACCGGTGCATACAGGTTGGAGCTACTATGCTATTAGTATTGATCCATCGTTGCTTTGCCTGACTGTGTATTCTTGTAACTAGAAAGTGGAAAAGTTTGATATCATTCTCTGTAAAACTGCTAACTTCATCAACATTTTTATGTAGTTAACGTACATCATACATTCAGACTGGTCACAATATATTTCCTGACTTTTGTGAGAAGTTTTGTACTTAAATGGACAGTTTACCCCAAAATCATAGCTACATATCTTCCTCTTACCCGTAGTGCTATTTAGTAGTCTAGATTGTTTTGGTGTGAGTTGCTGAGTGTTGGAGATACTGGCCATTAAGATGTCTGCCTTCTCCCTAATATAATGGAACTAGATGGCACTCAGCTTGTGGTGCTCGAAGTGCCAAAAAATACATTTGACAATCCCAACAGCTCTTTCCAGAAATCATGATCTGGTTACTGAAGAAAATCTACAGGCCTTGTTGTCAGCAGTTACACACAGGAACTACTTTCACACTACCGAACAACACCTGGCAGCTGTATCACTGAGTAGAAGGAAGTGTGTGTTTACCATAGCCTGTATAACAAAATTGGAGGACATGACAACTCCCTAAAAATAAAGCCAAAACACCTCAGTCGCCCCCTAGTGGCTGGCTGCGGTACAGGTCATAAACCCTGTCACCACTTGGTGGATGGGACATGGACAAAACTAAAAGATCAAAGTACACGTCAACTAATTCTTTTGCCAATGATGGTTTCTGTCAGTGAGGTGGTTCTTATCGTGCTGATGTATGTTCAAGCGTTCATTTGTCTAATACATTTGGTTTTAACTGTAAAATAGGGGTTTGGCATCATGATTGACAGCTGTATGTGCCAATTGGTGAGCTTGTGATCAGCGGCACAGTAAATGGCCCTGCTTGCTGCTAGAGATTGGTCGTCACCAGCACAAGATGGCAGTGGCTGTATTGCTTTATTAGTCATTTGCATCTACTGTTGGATTACAGGGTCATTGTTCGTCACAGAGATGAAAATGGCACGGTTGCTGGATATAATTCAGTAGGAAGAAAATCATTCCTACATGAAACTGTTCACAGAAAGGTCTTTAGTTTGCTGTTGAGTATTTCAAATGCATTTGTTTTGGCACTTTAAGTGCCACAAGCCAAGTGCCATCTAGTTCCATTATATCAGCAAGATACGTCTACAGCCATTATCTCCAACACTCTGCAATTCACACCAAAACAATCTAGAATTCAAACGGCATGACAGATAAGAGGAAAAATATGGATCTTTGATTTTGGGATGAAACTCCCCTTTAAGCTGACCTCAGCATTGAACACATGTAGTGTACCACTGCATGCAGAGGCATCAAAGGCATCTCAATCACTACTACAACCACCACAGGAGAAACTGTGGCCAGTAGTTGTGAAGACATCATTAACATTTTATTTCCTTTTAAAGTTGAACAAATAGCAGACACTGAGCGACATTAGCATTGATTTGGAATCATGTTTGTGTCCACCTGATAAATTTAAGTCTCTCAGTTTAGCTCTGTATTGGTCTCCAAAACCCCTTGAGTGAAATAAATGCTGCTCTAAGTGCTCCACTAACTTCACCAGCTTGTCGCTAACTGAGCAGGTCATATATGGTAAGTATTTCACTCTTTTTCATTGAAAACAACTATGCCTGAAAACAACACTATAGGAGCTGCTTTCAGCCAGTTCACCTCAACTTCCCATCACATCAGTGGAGGAGTTAAAATTATCTGCACCTGAGTGCAATATACTGTTTGAGTATACTGTGTTTTATGTTTGAACACGTGTTGCATGCAGAAAGTTTTTACCAATTGAATGTTCGAATGGTTCCTTTTCTGCTGGTGAGCATCCAGCATTGCCCGGGTACTTCCTCAGGAACCACCTGACCAAACAGGAAGTAGAGTTTAACATATGTGCACATGTCCACCATCTGCAGTGCTGCTGTTCATTCAGCCAAAGGTTTTGACAAGAGAACATGTTAGTCACTCTGTTGCTGCTTACAGAGTAAACCAAGGAATTTGTAGCAGAAGTGGCTCATTTGAGGAACACAGTGACTCACTGATAGAAGGGGTAAGGCAGCGGTTGCATGGCGTTGAGTGGAACCAGGCCGTGGTTTCCTGTGGAGAGCATGGTGCCCTCCCACATGTTGTCCTGCCCCGTGTCCCTCACCATCAGCAAGTCATTCTTTTTGAACGACAGCTGCTCTTCGTCGTCCTCATCCTGCTCGCTTCTTGTGAATAGCGCCTTGGCAAAGAAGGATCCTGAAGACAGACAGGTTTATGAGCAGACTGACTCAGCCTCTGCAAATGAGCATGTATGAATCCAGACATGCAAAGTGTTTTCAGCCGGTGTTGATAAAAGTCACCACACTTAAGTTCAAGATCAGCAAAAGTGCTACAGCTAGTGTGCCCTCATTCAGTCACAGGCAAATGATGGATGTTTTCTATCCGCCGCCTATTACGTTAATGTAATTCTCATCACTATTTGCCAGCACTGCAGTTTTATTATACGTTTCCGTGAAGCGTTTTGCCTAGGGGAAATATTCAGGAGAAAGAAGTGATGTTTGTGTAGACCAGCCCGAGGAAATCAATATACATTCTTCTAGGGAAGTAGTGTAATGGTTGTGCTTTAGCAGAACACTTATTTTATAATGCAAAAAAACACCAGAGCAAATTGCTAAAATTCACTGATGTCAACTTTTACTTGATTTCCTCATGCAATACAAAAAAGGGAAGCTGTGACCATAAATAGAAAGGGGATCATAATTCTGATTTTTAATTAGAAGTCTATACTTTAGACAAAATTCAAGTTACTTCTGACAAAGAATACTCCAAACATTTTGAGCATAGCAGTCGAGGTACACAACTTTTCACTCTCTCAGCCTCTTTGTTAATGATAAAACTGCTTATAAAATGCTCATTGAGCTTCTATAAAATGACAAAGTACAACTAACTCCTGGCATAACTGTACACAGTGAGGCACATAAGCTCTTTGAAGGACAATAGGGCTATAATTTGTCCAAAGTCATGTGTGGCAGTCACATTTCGTGTTAATTGGGGTCAGTGAAAATGGATTCAAAGTAATGGGATCAAATGGCAGCTGCAATAAATTACTGTATAATTAGAGTGACAAGACTGAAAAACTTCTGACAATAAATACTTCAAATATTCCGAGAGTTTTCACAATCTCAATCTCATTTAAATTTTGAGACTGTGAGAACATAGTAGTAATGGTATACAGCTTTCCACTCTCCCGGCCTCTGTATTAATAATTAAATTGCTTATAAAAGGCTGGCTGAGTTCCCATAAAATGATAGAGCTCAATATTACTGACCCTCCTGGAGTAACAGTCCCAGGTAGAGGGTTGCCAGATGTTCTTCGTCCACAGTTACACTGATCTGTAGGTCACTGAGCAGCTCTGGGTCCAGCCAGAAGGACTGATCACACAGGAAGTTCTCCAAGCAGCGAGCCACAAAACCTGCAACCCAGAACAAATATTAGTAATACTCTATATGCTTATATCACTGCATATCTCAACAACAATATCTACTATGGTAAAGCAAAGAGCTATTCATGTGTTTGTACTGCACCTGAAAACTGGGCAACATAGTGTTTAGACCTTCATCAGGTAAAGCCCACTTCACATGATGAAGGTTAAGCGGGCTTTACGAAAACATATTTCTCAATAAAGTTTATTGCAGTTAAAGGACAGTGAGCAGGAATTCTATCATCTCTTGCCTGCAGACATTTCATTTTTACGTGCCTGGCTACAAGAAATTGAAGGGTGCATGAGCCTTCACACTCAACATCAAGTATTCTTAGTTTTGAAAAATCACCCTCAGGTGGTATTTTCATAGAGTTAAACACCCCAATAACTCCAGTGAGCTACTTCAGGATGGCGTGAGAGTGGTTTGTTCACATTTGAGAGTCAGTGGCAACATGACTACACAACCCAACAGCTGTCATCACATTCTCAAATTTCTAAATTCTGACTGGCGCCCAAAGTACTTCACCTTTTTCCAACCTAATTCGAAACCAGTGTTAAGCACAGAAATACCATTTACTATTTAAAACACTTCCACATAAACAGTCTCAGACATGAGTGGGTAGCGCACCTTTGTTGTTTATGTGGAAGTGTTTTAAATAGTAACATTTTTGCAAAAATGCATGTGTGTGGGAAGTACCTAGCATACAATTGGATAAAGAAGTGTTAGATTGCGTTGCATGAATTGTGTGAGAGTTTGTAAATGAAAGTTCTGATGTACTTGTGCTGCTGTTAAACACAGTCGCCATTGTTTTTATTTTATCAACAATGTTTTGTGTTTTTTGGATTCTTCGTTCACTTTGGAGACATGCAAGAAAAACAAAGGTTTCTTTACAAATTCAATGTAACACAGGGTGAGTAATTGATATACAAAGGGTCATTTGAGGGGTGAAGTTCTCCTTTAACTGTGCTCATGTAAGACCTGATTGAGTGGCTGTAGTTTCTTACCTAATGCTAGGTAAGTTGAAAACTTCCATATTTCCTCCACAGTCTTAAATGTGAGCACAAAGCTATCCTTCTCAGCGTGGACACAAACCAGACGTGCAGACAAGTCCTGCAGAAACAAAGTGTCATATTTCAACAGTTAAACATCCATCCATTTCTGTTAAGTGCACAATACATATACAGTTTGATATATCATATTTCATAATGCATCTTAGACTGTGTAATGATCTGAGAAGGTCTGACTAGTACAGTAATGCCTATGTAATGTGTGCATTGTCAGGTTTGACTGTCACTCACTTTAAAGAGCTGGATGACGTCTTGGCTGTTGCTCTCCACCACTCGGAGTCGGGTGCGCAGCGCCTCCTGTAGGGCTCGGTCAGGAGCCACACTGGAGCGCCTCCGCCCAGTGAACAGCAGCACAATTTCTAGGCAAAAGACGAGAACACTGTGATCACTCTTTGATTTGTTTCTTCCAGTGGAAAAATATGGAATTTAAACAAATCCAATGCAAATAGTCTTAGAAGAAAAATTGGTTTTGAGAATGAAGCAGAGGACTCATCCATTGCCTGCCAGAATTAACCACGAAAGGAAAAACTAATAATGTATCTATAATTCTTCTGCTAATTCATCACATTTGTTGTATTTTTCTGTCTCTCGTCACTGAGTAAAAGGGAAAACATCTTGAGAGAGACAAAACTTTCAAGAGTTCATTAAAGATTTTCTACAAGGCCTCATATTTCAGCAAGATGCTCTGTGAGCACAACGTGTGTCCCCAGAGGAATAACAAAGCTATTAGGCCTCTTACTGGACACTCAATGTGGCCATTTAAATCCATTTGAGAGGAAGAACTTGGGGAATGTGATGGATGGAGCTAAAATGCTGAGTGAGTAAAACATTAGTGGATAGGGAAATGCGCCTCATCAGTATGCATAAATATAATACATGGAGAATTCTTCTGCATAAAAAAAAAACAAAAAAAAAAAAAACAAGTTTAACCAATGTAAAAGCTTCTTTTTCAGTGGAAACATACAAGTCAGCTTTGGTAAAAGCATCATTTAATGTACCTGATGAGAATTTCTCTCCCAGCGAGACAGTGCTTCCTCTGAGGAAGGCTTCCTTCTTTTTCCAGTAGCTGTCAGGCTCCACCCCTCCTTCACCTGACTCCACCACTGGACCATCCTCCTCCTCACCTGCACCTGGTACAAGAAACAAAAAGTCAGGAAAAAAGCTGCTGGATCAAGCTCAAACTGTCATCTTTTCCAATTCAACGCCAAAAGGGGAGCATACATGACTTTTCCTTAATGCACCCAAAGTTAGAAAACAGTCCAGTGTTGGTTAAGCCAGTGTATCCTCAACAGCATATTATATTTGGGGGGTTATGTGTGATAAAGACAGGTGCGTAGTATGTAGAAACAATTTTATCAAAAAGGTCATCACAAGGGCTGTTTAAAGTAAGCTGTAATTACAATGCAAGTCCCAGACTGATGGAAATTTAACTGAAACTGTTACCAGATGACACAAGATGGCAATCACTGTTTTGCCATTGAGGAAAACAGCTGTGGTCAGTGTGTAGTCAATCCTGTACCGGTTGAACTTATGAATTGAACAGTGGCTTGTGATGTTTTTTTGTCTAATGTACCTCAACAGCCCTGACAGAAGAACTCAAATATTCCTTCATTGACACCATCCTTCGTGTAGTCCAAAATGCGTTCATTTTATTTCATTTATACTGGATATTATTAAACACTAGTGGGTGCCTACCCCAGCTGAGATTGGGCGAGAGGTGGAGTGCACCCTGGACAGGTTGCCAGACACACGGCTAACACATAGAGACAGACAACCATTCACACTCACATTCACACCTACGGGCAATTTAGAGTCATCAATTCATCTACTTGCATGTCTTTGGACTGTGGGAGGAAGCCGGAGTACCCGAAGAAAACCCACGCTGACACGGGTGAACATTCAAACTGCGCACTAGAGGGGCTTCCCCACCCTGGGTTCAGACCAGGAACCCAGAATGAAAAAGAAGGGCTCCCCCACCCTGGGGTATTTAAGGTTCAGTCAAACATAAAAGTTTTGAACCTGGATTTAAAGATGGTCAAAGTTGGCGCAGTCTAATATCCTCTAGAAGTGGTGCACAGTAATGCTGCCTCTCCATGTTTGGTCTGCAATCTTGGGACAGTTGAAGCCTGATGACACGAGGAGCCGAGAGGTTTTGTATAGTAAAAGACAGTCAGAGATGTATTTTTGTCATAAGTGATGCAATTTAGGCTGATTTGGTAAAGTCAGAATTCCCACTACAGTACCTGGAGGCACTGAAGCCAGAGATTTTAGCCATTTAGCTAATGCTTGAGGCTCTCAATTTTAACCATTTTTCCATTGAATTTTAGTAAGTAAGTAAGTTAGTTTCATCTGAACACATTAACAAGATCTTAATAGTTTCAGAACCTATAAATATCAGCCACATGGATATATCTAGCAGCTGGGTATTGCAGTATAGTGCTGACGGGCTTCCCCTGGTTTGTTCCATTGTGCAGGGAGGATGTCTCAAACACTTCCTCAGTTTGTGACCACACACACAGGAGTACAGCTCAATAGGGCCTCAACTAAAAGAGGAGTCTATAATAATATCTAAATCTAAACTAAGCTTGATAAAGATGTTTGGTGCACAATACCTTGAGTCATGATGTCATTTCCTGGGAAGTGCTCATTTGCTCCCCCGAGAGTATACGGTGGTTCCCTCCAAAGAGCATCCAGCTCAGCAGGAGAGATGTCTGGAGAAAGAGGAACAAATCAGTTTATGAACCTGGATGTGAAGAAAACACGTTTGGTTCCCTTTATACTTCCTTCTAATCATTTACGGTAAACATCAAATAGTTTTTATAGTGTTCTTGCTAAGTGTTAGATGAAAAAATTGATACCACGCTCATGTTTGTATGGGAATTATGTAGCTGGAGCCAGAGGTTGGTTAGCTTAGCTTAGCATAAAGACTGGGAACAGGGGGAGACAGCTAGCCTGACTGACTAAAAGTAAAAACTTAGTCTACCAGCAGCACCTCTAAAACTCATTAATTCACACGTTACACCACGAAGTGTAAAAATTACAGTTCGCCATCTTATAGGGGTTATGCACCAGACTATTTCTTGGCAGAGACTACTCCTGGCCAAGCAATAGTCCGGTAAATAAGACCCCTGTAACAGCGACTGTAATTTTTATAGTTCCGTTATTGTACGGATTAAACATACAAGATATGAAATGTCATTTAGTTGGCTTTAGAGGTGCCTGTTTTGATTGTCTTCAGCAGTTTATACTGGAAATACTGCAGACATCTAACCACACAAGCCATTGGTTAGTGCGAGGAGTTATCAGGGTTGAAGGGGGGTGGAGGGGGGAGGGTACGATGACGTTGAACATACACAGGCCCGGCACAGACACACAGCTGCACTGACATCAGAACAACCTCCAGGCTCAAACAGCTGCCCTGCCCCTGACTCCTCCACTTCTATGTCAGCACGGTCACATGTTTTCAGACATACAGTCAGGCACCGTTAAAAACGAAAAAAGAACATACTGTTAACCAAGGGGTAACAAAAAAAAACGCCACTCTCCTTCAGTTTCCACATGCTTTGTCAGTGCACAAACACAGCAGAACAGTATTATCTTGATGCAAAGCGTTCACAACAAGACAATGGGGCGCACAACTTAGCAACACAATGCAACATGACATTAGGCCGAGGAGGACAACAGCCCATTCTTTTCCATCCTACAACACACAGCGTAGTTAGCACCAACAGGACTGCTTGAGTCAACAAAGGAGAATCATGCTGCTATGGTACAGGAACACACCATGCCCTTTTTACCTTCTTGGCTAAGTGTGTTACCCATGTTGTGTATACACCTATGCTCCTGTCTATCTGAGTGTAGCAGTCCGTCTCATGACGGTACAGTAGTAGCGCAGAGAGCGGGCTGGGACAGACCTGTGAAGGAGGAGAGGCAGACTTTGATGAACGGTCCACAGCAGCAGGAGTTGAGCAGCGGTCTGCAGCAACAAGACGCCATCTGGCCCAGGAGCCGGCAGCTCCCAGAGATCAATGCCATCCCATCAGTTCCCCCCAGCCTCTTTAACAACAACCTACTCTCTTCCTCTCTGTTGGACAAGCCCTGTTTCCCTTCCTATTCCTGTATTGCCTTTCCTGTCCCCTTCACCCTGCCTTTCCACCGCTTACTGTTTACTGGATGTGTCTCCTCTGTCCCACTGCAACTCTTATCTCTTCTTCTCCTCTATCTGTCTGGGTCTGCTTCTCTTTGTAATCCCTCTGTCTCTTGCTGTCTTCATCTCCCTCCTCCCACCAGCCTCCCTCTCTCTCTCTTCAGTAGCTGCCCAGTCAGTGAATGCACAAAGCACTCTCTGCGATTGGTATGAGTGTGTGTGGTGTGTATGTGTGTGGGGGGCAGGCCTCAGTTAGTTTCCCTGTGTGTTCACTTATGTGTGCCAGTGAAAATATGCACAGAATGTGTGTCACAAAGACAATGTGTGTGTCTTTTGTGTGTGTTGCTGGGAGAATGTAGTGCTGAGGCACGGTAAGGCAATGCCACACGGGGACAGGCTGCAAGGTCACAGCGAGGGGGGATGAGCGTTGCCCGGTGGCATAGATCGAGGATCACTTTATCCACATGCCACACTTCAACACAACTCTACTCTCTGCTGTTAGATGGGTAACGGACAGATGATATGACATGAACACACCAGGACAGCATCACCCTGCACTGTAAGGTCACCATGAAGATGAGGATGAAGATCCAAGGTGGAGACTGGATGATGAGGGAGTTTTGGTTGTTTAAGGCTTCACTGTGATGTAAAGAGGGATGTGTGCACAACAAAACATGCTGTAATGGAAAGCCCGAATCATTGACCTCATGTGACCCTTTACCATCTGACAAGGAAGTAGCCTGTAGTGCAGAGGGTGAAATCCTTAAACTGTTGATGTTCTCCACAGCACACAGTGTGTAGACAAGCAGGGGCCTCTAGTTAGATGGAGGTACACTGGTGTAATGGGTCAGTAATGCTCTGGCACAATGGGCTCACTCAGGGGGTAATGAAATGCCCCGATAGTGCCAGATTTTTAAAGCTGTGTCTGGCATGGTGGGTCTCATCTGGGTGTGTCATGATGGCATGTATAATAACAACCTGTAGCAGGGCAGCAGCAAAACAAATCCCCACCTCCTTATTCATAGAAGCTCTCAATAGGAAGCACAGCATGAGTTGAAAGAAAAATAATTCTGCAATATAATTTCTTTCAACTCCATTAGAAAAAAAAGTCAAGGTGTGGAAGGAGTTAAGAAAAAAAAAAAAAGAACGTCAGAATTTGACAGAAGAATACAGATTTCGAAGAGGTTATTAATGCTGGGATGTAAATACAAACCATGTCTGTTTTGTTTGTATAACTGAACATATTCCAAAGTATGTGATGTTTATGTGTATGGATGAGTATGGTATGTGTAAACGTGTATGTGATGTATATGCACTTATGTGTAGATATATCTTTATATGTGTCCATAGATATGGGTATGTTTGTATGTATATGCATATTAAGCCCTTTGAAGTAACAATAACACTTACAGTTACAACACTATATATTTTTCTGAAATTCTTTTTTGCTGTATTTTTAAATGATTCATGTATATTTGTTTTTTTTCCTCAATTGTTCTAATTAGTTGCTCTTTTTCCTTACATGTTGGTATTGTTACTATGCTACTTTATGAGTGTGTGTGTGCGTGTGTGTGTGTGTGTGTATGTATCTCTTGAACCGTAGCTCAGAGGTAAAGTGTCCACCGATTGAAAGATCAGCGGCTCACTCCCCGGCTCCTTCAGTCTGCACATTGAAGTATCCTTGGGCAAGACACTAAACCCCACATTGCTTCCAATGACTGCTCCATCAGTGTGTTAGCGTGTGTGAATGCTCACTGAGTAGCAGCAGAAGCGGCTTGTACGGTACCCTCACCCATCAGCGTGTGAATGTGTATGTGCATGGGTGAATGTGACATGTAGTGTAAAAGTGCTTTGAGTGGTCGGAAGAGTAGGAAAGCGCTATACAAGTGCAGTCCATTTACTTGTGTAACTTTAAAAAAAATACAAGCTGATATCAGTAGAATCTAATAATTCTAATGATATTGTAGCTAAAAGACAGATTATGTTACTCTATAATAGGATAAAGAAAAAGATACTGCAACACAGTGCCTTTAATGTGGAAATGTTTTATAAAAATGTCATGAAACAGAATAGGCTAATACAATATAAGCCAAATTATTAAAAACTTGATTTACATTCTGAGCCTGTATAATTTTGCTTGAAATAATTGACCAAGGGAATACATTTGTTTTGAACTATTACAGCACTTTTTAAAGCTGTTTCCCGCACCCATAATGCTTGCATCTAACAAGCTGAACCAGTGTGCTATATGGTGTATTTTGAACAAAACTGAATACTCTTGATGTATGAGAAAACACACCCCCCACTGCCCTGCAAACTGAATTTCAAGCTTTATTAATTTACATGTAAAAGGAAATAAAATTAGCATAAATACGCCACTCTAGAAACAAACTCCTGTAGATCTGAAAGTAGAGGAGAGCCTTTTTTATTGGGATGATGTCAGACTGAAGCTGTATGCTCAGATAAATGTAACCTTAAGGGGTTCAGATGTATCTGTTTTGTGTGGAGGCTGCAGGTTGTCAGTAGTGAACTAACACTATACTGATCTGAAGAGTCTTTAAAGGGACACTAGTGATTTAGCATTAGGCCCGTTTCCACTGAAGAAGTTCCTGGTACTATTTGGGGGGCAGGAACTACTACAGGAACATCCTCTCGCTCGGCCCTCTCAACCGCCGCGTCTCCACTGAGAAAGCGGAGTAGGAGGAAGGTTCCTGTAAAGTTACGGGCTCTGGATGTGACTTAATCGTTGCGCAACCATTTACTGGGGCGACGTAGGGATGCCGTTAGCTGATAGCCCTTAGCGGTGTCTGTAATAACTCACTAAATGGCCCGTGAAAAAATAAATTCCAGCGGATGTCTTAGTTACAACATGATTGAGCTGTCTGGAGTAGTTTCATGTCGTATCTGACAACGGGAGGCTTTTAACAGATGACGTCCTGATGTTAGCTTTGCTGCTGCTGTTAGCTGTCCCTGTCAGCTGATGCTTTCTAGACATCGTGATTTCCCAAAACTGAATAAATACCACACATAGCAACACAAAACTGCTTTGCTAGCTCAGTCATGTTGTAACTAAGATATCCGCTGGAAAGAATATTTTTTTCACGGGCCATTTAGTGAGTTTTTTTTACATGGCGGAGGAAGCTATATGAACGAGCTTACCCTCGTCTGCTGAGTTTTAAAAATGCCGGCTATTTTGTTGCTTTCTGTTGACATCACATCCCTCCTTGATTATATCCAATCAGCACCAAGTAATCCCCAAGCCCCAGCCGGGAGTTTCTCTGGGCCGTCCTGAGTACCTACCCCGAGGCAGGGACTTGTTTAGCCCCTGTAAAAGTTCCGGCAAAGTTCCTGCGGTGGAAACGGGCCTATTGTGCTTTCATGAAGATGGGGGCTTGTGAAAATATGATTAAAGAAAGATTAGTCAAAACTGAAGAAGAAGAGGTTGGGATTTGTATAACTACATTTCCCATAATGCAACTTGCTAGTATATTTCTGCCTCATAAATTCCCAGCTCCTTCAAACATAATGATAATTACACACACACAACAGGATGATGATTTGACTGGAACAATTTAGTGTTACATTACAGAGGGTGAGATGCTCTGTGCATAATGCTGTCTGTGACTTCTGTCAGCTGCCATGGCTTGTTAATCTGTGATTGTGGGAAACAAATGCATAAAGTTCCTTCCTCCTTTGCACCCTGATCGTTCCACTGCTTGAACACGCTGGAGACAAAGAGGCTGATATCTTTGTCCGAGACCAGTCTCTTCATCTTGTTTATGTGGCGGCTGACTGGTCATGATCGAATCTGTGTGTGTGTGTGTGTGTGTGTATCTTGTGAGGCAGAAAGCCGTAAACAGGCCGTAGTCGTGTCAGGGCATATCCTGACACTCTTAAGACTCCCCTGCTTGTTTCTCATAGTGCAACAGATTCTCTCTAATCTAATAAACACAGACTGCTCAAGGCTGATATGTGCGGTCACATGCTTGGCCCTTTGTTTGCTCTGAATGCTGCACAAGGGGCATCGGTTGTCTCCAGTGGCATCCACTTTAAAACATACAGAGATTGTCAGTGAAAACAATGTGTTGCTAGTGGTGCTGTATACAATAAGCCTAAATCACATCTTAGCTGAACACCTGTTGATCTAGTTAATGTTTCCTGTCAGAAGGAGGGTCAAAACCTCCCTCCTCTGAATGACTGCACGCCCTGCACAGCACTACTACAGCCTCATATAATCAGCACACATATGATTAAAGGAATGTTGACCCACAAGCACAGTGTGTATCACCTGTAATGACAGGGACTGAGTCCAATGACCACATACCATAAACAACCTTGCAGTTTCCACACAGTCTGAAACCACAGCAAAAGCCTGGGCTGCAATTGTGACACTCGGCAGTCCATGACAATAGCATTCAGCCTAATAAGAAACATATGGTGTCAGCAGTGTCTGTCTGGCTGTGTTCACATGCATGCCGAGCAGGGTTTGATTGAGGTGTTCGGGACTGCGTATGTGTACAACCGGGGTTTGTAGATTCGGAAAATGTGGTACAGGAGTTAGCTGAGAGTAATATGAGACAGGGGGTTAGGGACTCTAAGTTTAGACTAACCCCCTGTTAGCTCACTTGCAGGCATGCCTGTGTGTCTAGGACAGAGCTCCCCGCAGGGAGATTCCCACACTGTTGCATAGCGGCATTTGTACAGATACTGAAACAAACTTTGTGGAAGTATATTCACCAAGCTTTGTGGACAATCTAACATTCCTTTATTTCACTTTTTTGCAGTTTTTCTGCCCTTTAGAAGACTTAAGGAGCATTTACATTCATTATCAAGGCACTAGTGAACAAACTAAGGACCTGCAATCACTACATGACAGCTTTTATGTCCATCCTATACTCTGACTAGGAGAAACTTTATGGTGTGACTAAGTACAAAGTGCAGCAGTGTTAATCCTGCTAAATAGGACAAAGTTTATGATACAGTAAGACATAAAGAGCAGTCAGACATTATTAATGTAGGAAAAAAAAACAGCTCTTACCTCTGTGTTGCTGCCAGCGCTCCCCTCTCAATTCATTCCTCATGTGCGTAGCGTGTGTGTGTGTATCTATGTGCTCTGTGAATGTGTGTGTGTGTGTGGTTTCACCATTTAACCGGTGAATTGCATCTCATGACAGCTGCTGGAGCTGCTGTCATTCTCTGCTGTCGGCCCAAAAGCACAGGAGAGTAGAAACAGAAAAAGAAAGCAATACCTTAGTGTGTAAGTCAGTGAGAATGTGTGTGTGTGCCTTTGAGCGCTACAGAGGCTATCCCAGACGGCATGTCACTGACTGAGGAAGTTTTGCTGTTAACTCCTCCCATGATTTCTTTGGGGCAAGGGCAAAGCCTCCCCTTTCTCTCTCCCTCTCTGTCTCTGTTTTCCTCACTCACCCCTGTCCCCATACACACATACACATGCACACACACACACACACACACACACACACACGCACACACACACAGACACACACACACATGCACACTTCTTCTCAGTCAAACTTTGGAAAGCCTAAAAGGAAACTTAACCAACAAAAAGAGGTCAGGTTATAATTGCATTTTAATCTGTCTTGCAAAGCTGTTAAAGCCCAGCTATTATGTGGCACCACTTCCCATTTAGAGTCAGCCTATTTCCTCATTCTACAACACCAGTCACACCAGTTTGGTTTGACGCACCCGCACTCAGAAAATGACAGCTGATTGAAGGCACAAACATTCAGCAATTGTTGTTTCCATACCTGAGAAATCACTAATCTTCATTCCTAAAGGTGCAGAGCCTTCACAGCACTGCCCAGCATTCCATTTATTGTACTGCGAAATGTGAAATATTTACTCTCGTGTGCAATAACAGTGACCTCTCCCTATCATTAACACCTTTTCACTTTCTGGGTCACGTCCATCCCTATCTGTGTTTTGGGAGATAATAATCCCCAGGCTGGCGTTGCTTTGGTTTCTTGTGTTTTTTTGCCTGCTTAGTTAAATATAAACTCTGGAACTGATTGTGTATCCCCAGCCCCCAGTGCACCATGACAAAGTCACCCTGAACACAGAATATCAGCCCCGCACTGCACATGTGATCATGCAATTGGCTATGCAAGGCTGCAGGACACAGACCATTTATTCTGCTCTGTTTGCAAAAATGTGCCTGTGTGCGTGGTGTATGTGAGGCAGAGAAAGGGAGGGAATGTGGGTGTATTTAATAGAAACAAATTAGGAATAGCCAGGAATGGGTGGAGATATCAGCATTGCATTACAGGGTGGATGCTAAATTATGTGTGTGTGAGTGTGTGTGTACGTGTGAGTGTGTGTGTACTTTCCCCCAGCCATGTGGTTGGACAAAGGGCAAGGACTGTGAGGGTTAGAGAAGAATGCAGAATACTGCTGATCAGTGCTACTGGTGGACACATGGCCCGAGTGTGACAAACAAAAGACACATTACCTCCAATAGGAAAACACTGATGGGATGATTAGGCTATACAATGTGGCAATACATTAGGACTGCAACAAAAACACGACTGCCGCCGCCATGTGTTAAGCATCTCATAAAAAGGCATAATTTGTGAAATCGGCGTGATTAAGGAAACAGTTTCCATCGGAGGGCACAGAGTGATGTAAACAGTGTGCCGGTTTATTCCAGTAATAACACATACGAGGGGATGTTTTCCTTTACTGTCGATTAGGGGGCACTGGCGCCTTTGCAGACAGTGACAGCGCCACGTTGACCTGACGGCCTCCTGCCCCACTGCCTTCATTGCACAGGAAGGCCAACTTCCTGTTTTTCTGCCACATCACTTTGGAGGACAAAAGCACA